TTTCTGTTGGGCTCTCACAAGCCCTTTCTCCCAAGAGAAAGCCAAGCACACACACTTACAACTCTCTGAGATCACTATCCAGTTCATACTTCTCTCCATAATGCCTAAGCCATTTGGGCACAAAATTTCCCTCAAATAATTTCTGGGATAAACAAATACAGTAATAAACTCTATTACACACTAACTGTGTTTGGGGTGGCTACCCTGAGAACAAAACTCATGTACTACCCTGGGAACTCTTGTTAAACTGTAAGCATTAAAGAAAAGAGAGTTTAAAAATGACACACAAAAATAAAAATATATCTGAGCCTATGTATCTGTAAATAAATCTGCAAACATGGGAAAAGTTGAGAAATAAAACATACTAAGTTATTAACATATATTAAAGAGAGGCAAAGGGGGAAGAAGAGAAAAGGGGGCCAAAAATTAAAACAGAACATTTTTTTTAAAACTACTATTTATAAGCAACCATATGTATGTGCATCTCTATGTAAAATTTTAAAAAGGGAATGACAGTGGTACTGGACAAATAAGAAGTCAGAACAAATATACGTGAGGAAGTGAGTGGAACATTTCCAAACAGAAATGATAGAAAGTGAGAGCCAAGTTCAGGGATTCAAAGGACATCTTTGCAGCAGAATGCCCGAGCCTGGTGCTCCACAAAAGACCTGGGGCCCCCAGGCTGTTGCTTTTTGCAGGCTTAGCCTTTCTCACTACGGTGTCCAACTCTGGCCAAGGATGGATCCAAATCAAATGGTTCACACAACTACGCCTGCATCACATGAGCTGAACTAATATCAACAATGACATCAGGAAAAATGTGTTTACCTTGGTTTCTCGCCACAGAAAATGGGTCCAAAATAATGTTGAACATACGCTTTTCATTCTTGCGTCTATTAGAAGGACAAATAATTTAACAGGTGGGACTTAGAATCCCAAGGTTTTTTTTTTTTTTAGTTTTATTTTAGGTTGTGTTTTTTTTTTTTTTTTGGTAGATGATTAAACATTCCACTTTTGGTCAATGAAACCTAGGACCCTTTTTAACAAACCTTGGCAATCTCTACTTATTTTGCAAAAGCCATCCTAACGTTCAAGTGAGGTGTAAGTTGGAAAAAGCTGGTGAATCCAATCAGAGGGTCCTTCATATGTTATCAGTATTCTACGTTACTTCAACCTAGAGAACAAACTCTCCAGCTCCTCCAAGAATTGACCCAGACAGTGAAAAGAGGAAATTCCTTCTACCTTAATATGGCAATTGATCCAGACTTCATACAATACCATTTCAGTCTACAATTTTTATCATCACTGCCAAAAACATCAAAAAGAAACATCACATGACTTTCACTCAGTTTTCATTTTCTAAAGAATAATCATGTTGTTCCAGGCTTGGGCAGAAAGAAAGTAATTAAACAGAGAAGGGTGGAGAGTAGTCACATGATGCATTTTCAACTGCTTATTGACTGATTTCTAAGCTTTGTGACAATTATTAACTAAAAAAAAAAAAAAATGACAGTGTGAGATAAAGGACAAGAATGTTTCCCCATATGTCAAAGGCTCTGTTTTCAAACTAAGATTCTCCAGCCATATGCTCATCTGGGTATCTTGTTCACTTTTTTCTTTCACTCATCTGTCTTGTATAATTTTTAAGGTTCCTCAAGAAACTGCAATGCTTGTGCTAGCTACTAGGAAGCATCTCAGCGATCTACACAAAATAGAGAGTACATTAGTTTAAGATAACTCTAATACTGTAACAAACCCTAAAATAAATATGCATATAAATATGCATAAATAACTCTCTCAGATAAAATCCAAAATAGGCAGTTTTGACTGGTGGGTATTCCTTCCACACAAGATTCAGGGACCCATGATCTGTGCACACTCACAGTTCTCTGCTTGGACCACAAAGTCCTCTGTGTTTAGCCAGCAGGCAGGGGATCAGGTGGTAGAAAAGGAAAATTCATTTATTAAAAGTCTCAGTTTTTAATTCTCGGAATTCTGAGTCCCACCTATTAAATACCAGCTAACACATGTGACTTCCACGTATAACCTATTGGTTAGAACTTAAATACCAAAGTGAAGAATTTTGTCTAGCTGTATGTTCTGGAAGAAGACAAAACAAGATTCATAAAAAGCTTGTCACTGTTTGCCATAGTCAGTCAGTTGGACGAGTCCATATTCTCAATTCCACTTGTGCTATAATTACTACGGTAATTTAGAAGACGTACATTGCCTCAGAGTGTATGTGTGTGATCCAGGCAACTTACTATGATGGCCTAGCTTCAGAGTCATAGAGAACTCAGCACCTGACACTTACCACAGCTAAATATTCAGGAAGTCCTGAGAGGACAACTTCAGAAGTGGTTTCCCAAAAATCAAGTGCAATGGGGCCAGGTTGTAACAGGAGTCCAGGGTACAATTGGATCCACCTGGGAAACATCCCTAGTTCACATCCTACAACTTCCCTGAATATGAAAGGCATGCCTACCTGCCCAGATTCCAGACCACCTGAGATTGGGGCTGCATTGCAATGGGAAGACTCTTTTGGGGTTGTTCTTTTCTTTCTCTCACTCTATGTCTCTGTCTCTCTCCCTTCCTCTCTATCATGTAAGAAATAAATTAATTAATTAAAAAAAAAAAAAAAAAACGAGGGGCCAAATAGTGGAGCAGCAGTAAAAAACACTTTGAGAGGCAATTCCACATGGGAATTCTCCCAGATCAAGTCTAAGATCGGGGAGCTCCCTGAGTGTACTAGGTACAGTTTGTCCATAATCCAGGGCTGGCTGAAGACTGGGGATAGATTGTGCAGACAAGACCCTGTTAGGGATGCTGTCTCTTGGTTTCTATCCCCATCTCTTTCATTCATGCAAGTGGATAGACTTTTTTTTAAAGTCAAGTCCAAGGTGATTTGAATATGTTTTTGGCAATTCACACTTTGAAGCAGAGAGTTTATCTAAGAATTTGGGGAGTATTAGAAAAATGTACTAAGCACTCTGACTTCACCGCACATACAAGCCAGACTTACCGTCCATATGCTTCATGGTTAAATGGTTTCACTGGCTTTGCAGACTCCCGAAGGTTTTGCATAGACCAGTGAAATAACTCTGTATCCTAATTTGTTGGAGTTTACAAATGACATTAATAATTTGCTTTTGGTCTTCAGGGGAAAAAAATATTCAAGGATTACTATCCTTTTTTTCTTTTTTTCTCTTTTCTTTTTTAAAAATAGGAAGCTGGAAACCAAAAGTATAAGGACCTAAAGGTAAGTAGAGATTAAATAGAAGATAAATTTTTATCCTCCCACCATATCTGTACCTTGACAGTTCCCTAGAAAGATTATGCTTCCAGATAATGCCACAACTACAGTTGCCTTATTTCCACACAGGTCACTTTCATTCAATCATTCTTAGTGCTTTTGTTTAACAAAAAGAATATCCTAACACACATTGCTTTTTGAGTGTAATGAAATCCTGCCAGACAAAACTAGTTTGCTCTATTACTTAAAATATGGAGTGTGGACCAATAGCACTGAAGTTTGTTAGAAATGAAGATTCTCGGTGTCATCCCCAGGCTAACTGAATCAGATACTCCATCTTAACAAGATGCCCAAGTGATACTTATGCACATTAAAGTCTGAGCAGTACTGCTTAAAGGTACCCTTTAGTATGTTAACTTTAATACCTAGTAGGGATAAGACATTGACCTAATGTAAAAAGAGTTTCTAGAAATTAGAAACAAGAAGAAAAGCAGATAGAAAATAGACAAATGTAAGAACAAACTATTAAATGGAGAAATGCAAATGAATAATAAACACAAATAAATGCTCATCTTCTCTACTGATCTGGAAAATGCAAATTAAAACAACAGCTTATAATTATTTCATCTCTTAGGTTGGCAAAACTGTAAAATTTGAAAATATCCAAAATTGGAAAAAAAAAAGGTTGGGCTTTTTTTTTTTTTTTACTGTTTTAGCAACTTCAGTTGTTATAATCTTTTAGGAAAACAACTTTTCAACACCTATCTTATTTTACTTTCAAAGATTTTAACCATGTAATTCAACTTCTAGAAATCCAGTCGATAGAAATATTTGTTAAATTGTCAAAAAAAGTTTAAAAGATTTTCATTGCTCCATTTCAATTGTGACAATTAAGGGGAATTTAATGTTTAGATGATATTACACTAAAGAACTATGGGGAAATGCAAAAGATGTCAGTGTCATTACAACAAGTTTTTAACAAACTATTGAATATCTGAGCAAGTTGCAACAGGATGTATAGAAACTACTCAATGCTTTTACTTGTATAAATAAATGTATTTATTTAGTTATTTAGAGCCTTTTACTTTATGAAGAAAAGTGAAGGCTATTAAAGGACCTTCTGGGTATGATTATATTTATGTTCTATGCTATTTATTCTTTGCCATAGTTTCCAGCTGTCTTCTGCCCTTCTCCATGTCATACCCTGGAGCTTCCATTGTATTTTGGTCTATGGGAGG